GCGAGGAATAAGTTTGTTTTGTTTTTCGTGTTTTCTTTGTGCTTTGAAGTTTCTGTAGCGATTGGATCGGTTTAACAGGGTAGGGTTGCTAGCCTTTCGCCCAACCTTCCTTCTTCATCCGGGCTTAGGACCGGCTGGTAAGTGATGAACTAGTTAACCAGACCGGGCTTCTATCTCCATAACCTTTCCTATAACCCTACTTGCTCCTCCTTCCTCTGACCCTATGTTGTCAGACTATTCAATAAGGGTTCTCCTCATCACTTATCTCTTATGAATCTACTTGAGTTTCCTCTTCCGTTCCGCTTCCTCTCGCCTGATCGTCTTTTTCATGCTTTTTCTCTGCACTTCCTCTCTCTTGATTTCTCTAGACATATTTTCTGCCTTCTTTTTATGACTAGTCTGACCAAATGCTTGGTGGCACGACACTTAAGGAAAACCATCTACACCACAGTCCTTTAGAAAACCACGCAATCCCCACAAATTTAGCCAAAGCCCAGCCGCCCGTCGGGCTAACCAGAGCTACAGCAGGCGAGTGGGTAGACCTACTGTATGGGAATCCACCAAAGACCTGGATCCGCTCCGCAAGACCTGGAAGCGAGCCCGAAAGTACCAAATGGTTTACACCAGCTCGTAAAAAGATATTGCATACTGGAAACAAACAGCCACTTACTACAAAGCTACAAGCAGGTAAACTGTAAAGACTTCCGTTTCAGTTTCAGTTATAAGGATAGTAGGCCAGTTGGCCTGTGTTAATCCTTGCAGGAGACACCTCTGTGAAGATCTAGCTTCTCCTTGAACGCGTTGACAGAAGGTGCTGATATTGCTTGCTGGGGTAAGGAGTTCCAGCCGTTGACAATACGATGGGAGGAATGCAGATTCACGCTAAGTTGATTCCATCGAGGTTTTGGAATTTTCCTGTGATGCTCATGCAGATAGTCAGTCCTAGCAAGGGAGAAAAGATAGGACATATCAGTATCGAAGTCATCATTAAGAATACGAAATGCCGGCATGAGATCACCCCGTCCTCTGCGGTAAGACAGTGGAAATAAATCTGGCTGACCTAGTCGTCCTTCATAGGACAGATTCGAAAGGCCTGCCACAAGCTTAGTACCCATCCTATGAACACGCTGGAGCGCGTCAACATCCTTTTTTAGGCATGGGCTGGCCGCCTGAATGCAGCATTCCAAGTGAGGTCTAACGTAGGTAGAGTAGGGTATTCTAAACATGTTCTCATCAAAAAATTTGAAAGCTTTGTGGAGGGACCATAATATACGGAAGCCCTTTGCTGCGGCTGCATTACAGTTTGCCGGGGTTTCCAAATCGTGACTAATGGTGACACCTCAGTCTTTTAGTTCAAGGACTGGAAGTAGTGGTGTACCATCAACGGAATACTGGAAACAATCCCTATGACCAATGAGCATCATTGTACTTTCGTTAGAATTGATTTCCAAGCACCAACGTTTGGACCAACCTACTAGTTTATCTAAATCCGCCTGAAGTGCATATTTATCTGCGTCACTGCGTATAGCTCTCCAAATCTTTACATCATCGGCAAATAACAGTGCCGAAGAGTTGAGCATATCTGGCAACTCGTTGATGCATAACAAGAAAAGTAGTGGACTTGGGATTGTTCCTTGAGAGACTCCACTCATCACAAGTTTCCACCCGGATAGTGTCCCTAACTCTTTGCCTTCCATCGTATAAAAAGTCCTTAATCCTAGCTTGTAATGAAGTACCAAGCCAGAAAGAGGACAGCTTTCCCAGTAATTTCACATGCGGTGCTTTGTCAAATGCCCTACTGAAGTCTATAAACACGGCATCTATTGGCAGCTGGCAATCACCAGCTGCAACCCATTCTTCTCTTGCGATAAGGTGGTTAGTTAGGTAGGTTTGCCCAGTACTAAAACCGTGTTGCTGTGGTGCCAAAAGATTGCTCGATTCCACATGTTTAAGTACCCTGTCGCAAATTTTTTTAAAAAATCTTGACAACTATGTCAGTTACGCTCACGGGGCGATAGTTGGACACCAAATGGCGACTACCGGTCTTAAAGGCTGGGCTGATTATGACATCCCTCTAGTCTCTAGGGAGGTGAGTCTGAGTTAGGGACATGTTGAAAAGATCCGTGACTGGCTTAGCAATGATGTCTGTTAGCGAGGACAGAAGTCTGGGGTGTAACCCATCGGGACCCAGGATTTTCAAGGTTTAAGGTTAATGAGCAACTGTAAAACTCTTTCCTTTGTTGTAAACACTGTATGTATTAGTGGTATAGTGCTGACACCACTATTTGGCACTTCATCATCATGATCTACAGAAGAGACTTCACTAAAGTAATCGGAGAGAAATTCAGCTTTGGACAGATTAGATTACGCTAGACTATCGGACTTCTCATCCGTCGCCAGAGAGTGAACTCCAAAGTTTCTTTTGGTCCCCCTTCTGAAAAATGCGAACAGTCTTTTAGGACGATTTTGGCAATCCCTCACAAGTTGCTTCTCGTAGGACATTCGAGACAGTGTAATTAAAGTCTTGCAGAGGTTATGGACTTTACAGTACTCAGTCCTAAGTGTTTCCGGTCTAGTCTCTGGAAACAAGTCTCATAAACGTTTTCTCTGCCTTAACAGTCTCTTAATGTCTTATTAAACCACGGAGGGCGATGTAAGGATAGTCATGGAGTCGAACATGGAATAAATGGCATCGTTACCTCTTCAAATAGAGTTCTGAACCTATTCCACGCATTCTCAATTGATGAGTCCTTGTCGACGGTCCAGTCCTTACCGACTGCGCTATCCCTTCTATTTGAAATGTCCACATGCCATACACTAGGTCCAGGGGAGGCAGTGTCATAATCAAACTCATTAGTCCGAAAACCAAAAGTTAGTACTATATGGTCGCTGCTAGCTAGTGGAGGGAAGTATCGTAGATCCAGAATGTCTTCACAATGATGGGTTAAGGCTAAACCTAATAACGATGGCTTGTGTTCAGAATCGTAACGTGTTACGCATGTTACCTTTTGAACTAAAGCAGATTCTAAGACCATCAAAAGTAAGTCATTTTCGAGGAACCACCTGGTGGTGGGACTTTTAGCTCCATCCAGTTTATGTGTGGAGCATTCAGATCCCCAACTATTAAGCATCTGTTACATCTACTCCAGTTACGTTTATGGGTTAGCACGAAGTCATTTGCAAGGCAGGGTGGACTACGGTAAATGACCCAGATAGTGCAGAAACCATGCCTTGACTTCAGCTCGCAACTGGCTGCTTCACAGGTCCCGCATTCATGTGCTTCAGAAGTGACCAATCGTAGATGGATGTCATCCCAAACATATAGTAGTATGCCACCACGTTTGCTACCTACAACCCTATCCGTCCTTACACAGTAACACCTGAGAGGAGTGGCGTAAAATCTAGATCCTTGATCAACTAGGTTTCAGTAAGGGCTACCACGTCAGGACCTAGCTCTTAGATTAGAGTTTCAAGGTCTGTCATCTTGCTTCTAATACTGCGAACGTTGGTATAGATAACTTCCATTGTGCTGGAAGAGTTCCACGACCCACCCATATAGGCCCTGGAAGCATTAGCTTCCAAAACCTCACAACCCGAGAACACACTATTTTAAGATCATTTTCACCGTTGGCCTGTCGAGCCCCAAGTTCGGCAACAGCTTCTCTTCTTTTTATGCGGTCCTCGAGGGGCCAGTCAGATCGGATGCGGATATCCGAACTTCGTAGTTTGGATGCGTTACTCAAGAGTACATCCACTTCATCCTTGTTGTTTCCCTAAAACAACCTTTAAAATTCTCTTCTCATCAGGTTTTCCGTCCGTTTCCTTACCCAGCCTAATTACTTTGGAAATGTGCACCCCTTCAAACTTTTCAGGCAGAATACGTCTGGTGACTGACTGGACAAGATGCAGGTCACGGCCGTGACGTGTTGAGGCATCTTTATCTGATGACTCCTCAACGTTCCAGAAGATTAAACTGGGCGATGAAGTGGAATCCTTGAGTTGTGTGTTGACGGCCTTTGAAACCTTCTCAATAGGTTTCATGAGCTCAGTATCTTCCGTGATAACCTTTGGCAGTCTTTTCGGATGCTTTCTTGGAGAAATCCATGTAGATCGGTTGACCACTTTTACAGAGTCAACGCTGTTACCAGAGGTGCAGGCTTTCAGTGAATCCCCAGGCATTATGGTTGGTGTACCATTTGTCCTTGGCTTTCTCTTGCGTCGAGTACCCATCGGGACTAATGTAATTTCACCAACTGGATCACCAGCATCCATTAGTCCACTGAGAGGTCCTGTGTCAGATATATTAACGATTACACTTGCAGCATCATCATCTGATACCGCATTAGAATGATAGCTATCATTTCCACGTAGCTGTTTCTTTTCACAAGCAAATTTTCAATAGCTTCCTGGATGAGGGTTGGCAGTGGCTTGCAGCAGAAATCACACAACCAGAGAGAAGCTGGTTTACTGCAACGCTTGTACACTGTTGGTGTCAATCCTGCACAAACCTTGTGGAACCAACATCCACATGCATCACACTGCATACCTTCATCCACTGGAAATTTACAGCCGTGACGACCGCAAACATGCTTATCGCTGACCATGTTATTCACTCGTGTCGTGTACTAACTAAAGTACTCGGCCAAAATTTCGACAAGGGGACTTAAGCTGTGACAACACAAAGACCAACCTAAAGCCTCGAGAAATGATTAAACTTCAAACACTGACTTAGGTACTTCAAGTCAAGGGTTATATGAAAGCTCCTGACTACACAACAAATGCAAAAATGTCAAAAGCGTGGAAAAATTCACTTCCTGTTTTCAAAGCGCGCGTGATGAGACCAGCGAAGTTTGACCAAACAAAAAGGATCGAGCCTAAGGACCTATAGGTGAGAGCTCAAAAACTACAGGCTTCCTTAAATCACACTAATGATGTTGGTGTTAACTTAATGGATATGGCACCCCATAGCGCCTATTTCGTTCTCTTTCCGTCAGCGCATCATGTTGTCGTGCAGTGATAATGATGACTGGTTGACACTTTATGAAAATGTTTCACGAATAAACAAGGGGTTGGATACTAAAGTAAGCCTCGAAGACCAAGATGAAAAGCGTAAGTGGCTCGAAAACGTCTTATTTTTAAGCTTTCACTAGAGCCGAAATTTCGTATATAAATAAATTGTTGAATTCCAAGCTGTTTGAAGCACAAGACGTTAGTTTTGAACTGCTGAGATCTGATCCAAATCATCCGCTGCATTCTGTCCGCACATTCCAAGAACTTAATTTGTAGGGTTTTATATACATACTGTGATTGCATTCTGCCAACAGAAAGGAACCGCTTCTCAGAGGTATCGCAGCTATGGGTTTTTATAAGCCATCTACTATCCAGGAACGAGCACTAAGCAGCCTTATATCTGATCAGTAAGTACTGGTGGGCTTTCTACTCAATTTATATCTACTTTTCGTTTTCGTTAGTCATTAGAATCGTTGTTTATATAACTGTTGGTTTATAGCCGTACATGATTCGGTGACGTTTCGGCATTACTTTGGAATTGTCTAAAGCGTGATCGCTCCAGATATGTTTGGCAGTATGTTTACTAGGTCTACGCTCTCCCTTATGTGTCCCATGTCTCTAAAAGCACAGACCCAGAAAAGTGGTGCTGTTTATCAGGTCGCAGTTACATACATTTGGTTGTAGAGTTTGAAAGAGTTCGGTCCTAAGGGTTTCTGAAGTTTTGGCAGCCCAATGTATTGTATGCAAATGCACATGTTTGATTAGATATTGTTTGGACTCTAGGAAAGTAGAATGTTGAGTGGTTCATTTAACTTTTTTGACCTCTGTTTTTGTTCCTGATTGCATTCTTAGAGTCGTATGTGAGCACCCATGAAACTCATTTTCTTTAAAAAGGTTATCCACACTTTGAGTAAACCCCACTGAATCGTTTTTCGATGCAGCTGTAAATATGGATGCAATGACCAATCTTTCTCGGGCCACCTCTCATTTTCAAGTTTGTTAAATAACTAAAACAGCTGACCAAAGAAATCCGAAGTTCCTCATTCACTGACCTAATGGCTGATTAGATTTCCTTTTACATCATTTTAGACTACTCTTTTTTGTAAAATAGACAGAAAAAATCAACAAAGGAATTCGCACAAAAGTGCATCGGTCCAAGTTTCCGCACCTCTCAGTAGTACACAGAGCAGATGGATTGATGAAGAGTGAAACCAAAGAAGATAAAGTAGTGAAAGAGAATAAACGATTTGAAGCTAAAGGTTAGTGCAAATTGATCTCAAGGCGTGCATACATGTCCTCCATTGTTACCAATTTTGAGTCATTCCACTGAGAGTACTCGTCCACTGATTCCTGCTGTCTCGGGGACCCCACCCGGGTAGTCTAAACCTCCCTACACAGCTCAAACCAAGTCTGGGACTTCATGTTACCACACCTTACTCTAACCACCCTGTAAACCCTTCCAATCTAATCTGACTTCCCCTCGCACAACACTTCGGGGTAGATGGTGGCTCAGCATGCTCAACACACGTTCACACCACATCGATCTATGAGTGTCCACAATCTCATAGATTGACTAGCCTGTCTTACCTAGTACCCTTAGCGTAACCTCGACAATGCTTACTCAGGGATTCCACTCTACGGGAGAAATATTACGAAAACATCTATGATCAAAACCCTGCAGCCGCTTCATGTCTTCTACTTTCAGCGGCCATCTCACTCGTGCAACAGGACAGAACGAACTGCAGTTCAGTATACTCATCCTTTAACAGATAGTCAGATATCTCGCCAGTTGGCACCACAGGTGACATAAGTTGGCAAATGCCAAATGGGACCTCTGTATCCGGGCTGAGATTTCGTCAACAACCAGCCCGTTCGGGCTTATGCAGCCTCTCAAGCAAGTGAAGTGGTTGGCACGTTCCACCACTTCACTCATTATCATCAAACTAGGAGTGGTTGCAGACCAGTTACGGAGCATCAACTTACATCTGACAGGTGCGGAATGGATGCCAAACAGATTTCTCTACGCGTTCAGAAGATACTGCACTGCATCGGAGTAGAACAGTATCCTATGCATATTCCAAATCAACCAGGTGGCATCCAAGGAGTAGATCAATCCCTGTAACGTCAAACGTACCCAAGGTTATGTCCGATAGTACGTCTATGACGAAGTTAAACAGCAGCGGTGACTGGACATCCCTGGTGGATACCACTAATTATCGTCGATTCTGATGACAACTCTCAAAAAGCCTTTACACGGTTGGTGTAGAAAATTTTGATTAGCTTTATGTACTTGCTCGGTACTCCACTCACAGTCAGATACTGCCACAACACTTCATGGTCGACGGGGTCGAATGCCGCCTTCAGGTCAACAAATGTGGCTTGCCGGCTGCCAGTATGTCTGGCTCTCTTCCAGAACCTGCTGGAGAGTAAAAGTATGGTCGATCCACCCCCGTCCAGCTCTGTCTGAAACCTCCCGGATTTTCTCTAGTTTTCTGTTCTCGAGCTCCAGTTAGGCGTCGAATAGCTATGAACTCGAGGACCTTGGAAATTATTAATCAAACAAATTTTTCTATGGTTGTCACATGAAGATTTGTCTCCCTTCTTATAGACTGGGATGATCAGTGAAGTACATCAGTCTGACGGCACTATCTCTAATTTCTATACACTACTTAGTACTCCTGTCACTTTAATGAGCGATTTCCTACCTATCCTTGAAAACTTTATGTGGTGAACTGTTGGGCTGTGCCACTTCTCATCTTTTCAGGTTGGATACAGCCTTCTCAACTTCAAAGAGAGTTGGTAGATCAACATCTGCCTGACATACAGGTTCAGGCTGGATATTGGGCAACTGAAGCGTTGCTGAAGGGCAGTTGAATTGTGCGTCAAAGTGTTCTGCCAAATGTTCTAGTCGCTTGTCCCGGGAAGTTATCAGCGTCCCATCCTTTTCGGTGATGGTTTCACTAACCATCGTTTTCTTCTTTCTGGTAGTGGAACTGAGGCTCAGTGGTTGAGATAACTGTCGAGTCACGTGTTGGAGCCCCCCTCGCACACATACACAAGGTGGATAAGTGCGTTACTTGTAAATAATTCTTCCTAGTATCTTTAATAAGGCTAAATAGTTACTGGGTGATACCCAACGCTGGTATCCTCTCCATCCCTATCTCTCTCGCTATCACCACCTACCACTGCTCGCGGTCATCGCGAAGACTCTTGGCCAATTGACCTGTAGGTTGTTTTCGCTCTTCATTGTAGTCACAGCCAGCTGAAGCCGGTCTTCGGGCATCAGTCAGTTCGGGTGACATTGCGGATATCTAGTAAAGTTTGCTAACCTTCCGGTGTAGGTTACCAGCTGTCTTTACCTCTGTTTCTACAGCAGACTCAATATCGTGCTACGTTTCCTCAGGATAAACACTGTCACGTTAAGATAAATTCTTAGCTAACTCAAATACGTATTTGGCGTCCTCGTTTTCTAACCGAGGATAGACAGGCTTTACTGTCACCTGTTTCTTACAACCAGTAAGACGCAGCCCGTACTCGCTCGTGATCGGAGTCAAACTAGTACTCCAGAAAAAGCTGCAATCCTCCACTGATCATCTCCAGCAATGGCCAATAGCAATGTGATCTATCTGTGTCCATCGTTTGATGTCGGTGGGTCCCAGGTGAATCAGCGTCTCTCCTTATGCTTGAGGTCAGTACTTGTCAGAAGCAAGTGATTACCAGGACAAATTGCAACATACGATAACAGTTGTCGGTTCGTTGGCATGGGATTCTGTAGTTATCTCCTAGGATTCATCCTTTGCATCATGCGAACTAGATTCGGTGGGTACGCAAAACAGAGATTACGAATAGGCATCAGTCAGTTTCAGGACCTTTCCTGGTTCTTACACATCCATTCAGTCAGAGAACATAGAGGTCTGTTGACTGGTATCCGGTCGGGGAGCGCTCTGTCTGCTATACAAGTCAATGCTGTGTATGCAGCAGCCTGTCCACAAGAGCTATCCATTGGGTCTTCGAGTGCTCGTAAAGTGAATTTTAGAGGTTCACTGCGATGGTCAGGTGACGTCAAATATGGCGCCGCCGTGATATCCAACTGTCTATTAAGGGTCGCGTGTACTGCACAGTAGTCCGCTCTGTTCTACTGTATGACTGTGAAACATGGCCATTGAAAGTGGAAGATACAAAAAGGCCTCAGGTGTTTGACCACCGTTGCCTTCGTAGTATAGGACGTATTCCGTGGTGTCACCACGTGAGTAATGCAGAAGTCAGGTGTAGAGTTTTAGGGAGAAGAGGTAAGTCAGTTGACGAGGTTGTGAACCTTCATCGACTGAGATGGTTGGGACACGTACTACGTATGCCTAGTCACCGATTACCTCGTCACACAATGTTGGCTGAGGTGGGTCCAGGCTGGAAAAAGGCCCGAGGTGGCCAGACTAAAACATGGCACTAATGTATGAAGTCTCTGGCTGTTGGTTTAAGCCATGTAGGACGATGCAGACTAGGTGGTTGGGGTCCACGGGACAAGAGGAACCAGTGGTTGGAGACTTTGGGTGGTATGGCTCAGAACCGAAGTCAGTGGCGCAGATGTATACACACGTTATCCTCATCTTAACAACGCTATACCGAATCTCACTATTTTGTCACTCCTCTTTCCTTTCTCCTCGTACTTTATATTTCTTTTGACTGCATTCACTTATCTTCATCCTTCACCTCACTACCTTTTTACTTGATGTGCTGACATGAGGTGTGGCAACTCGGACCGTTACGCAGTAATGCCTGGTCCTGTGTCGATAATGATTGATTGACGTCAAATAAGTATCCAGAAGGGTCCCGTATACGTGTTTTGGAAACACGGAATACATCCATAGCGACGGACTCCGGATTTCTGACTTGGGATAGGGTTCTGACGTTGGAAGCTTCTACACGAAATCGATGGCGGAGTTTTGGGAGACGAGTTAGGGTGTTTTGATAGCTTTGTTTGTGCTGGTGGTTGACGCTTCTCGGCTCCCCATACTGTGGAAGTTGTTTCTACAGGGTACCTGAAGGAGAAAAAGAAAAATATTTGTAACTGCATAGCCCGCGAGACATCCGCTTGAGGCCGATCAAGCAGCATTTAGTCATCATCATCATTATCAACATAGGACCAGGCATTACTGCGTAACGGTCCGAGTTGCCACACCTCATATCAGCACATCAAGTAAAAAGGTAGTGAGGTGAAGGATGAAGATAAGTGAATGCAGTCAAAAGAAATATAAAGTACGAGAAGAAAGGAAAGAGGAGTGACAAAATAGTGAGATTCGGTATAGCGTTGTTAAGATGAGGATAATGTGTGTATACATCTGCGCCACTGACTTCGGTTCTGAGCCATATCACCTAGGGTCTCCAACCACTGGTTCCTCTTGTCCCGTGG